ACACTGTTTCCTTTCTCCTGTAAGTCAACACAACTTCATTAAAATTCAGGTTTCCAGATGGAGAAAGTGGGAAATGGCTTAGAATGGTTGATTTTGGCTTCTGGAGACTCTGAGAGTCCCAAGTTCCAAATTCTGTGAAGGTCACTCAGTTGCTGGGAACTGGCTCTGGCTCAGATGCTCCAGCCAGGGAAGCTGCAGAGGAGAGAGAACCCTCCAGTAAAACCTCTTGTTTTCAGCTGTTTTCATGACTATAGGAACTTCACTGTGGACTATTTCTGTGCCTCAGACGAGCATTGCAAGGTTCCTTCGTGTCAGATGCAAAAAAAGAAAAAAAGGAAATACTTGAGCTTCCACTCCAACCTCAAAATATTTTACAAGGCATTTTTACCTCATCAAATATCCCAGAGTTTTCAACAGGGTACAAGAACAGTTTTTATTTTAATAAGCGTGATGACTGAGATTTGTTGCTGAGTGAAACTAATGAGATGAAGGATGTTGACAAGTCATGGATTTGTATTGTTCAGCCTGAGTATAACTTGAAAGCTCAGCAGTACTGGACAAGCACAACTACTGAAAATGTGAATATATTTACATTATTTGATATGAAATGTTGAAGCCATTTTGTTAATGGGCAACTTTAGCACTTGTTTTTATGTATTGAATGGAAACCAGTAGGTCAATTGTAATGTAAAAATGCACATTTTTATTTTGGATCTGTTTTTAGCACTAAGCCACATATTCAGCATAACAAGAGAGCAATAACCTTTTGATTTGATGATACACAGCACCTTTTATGTAAACCCATGAAAAGTGATTACTGGTATCATGAGGAAACAGCACCTTAGGGAGATTACCAGGCAAGGCAAACAGCTGGAACCCATAATCTCCTAAAAGTCTGATTGTCTGTGGATCTCCTTTCTACCCTAGGGGGCTATAAGTAATACTTTTTTTAATTATGCAAAACAATAAATTCTTTGAAAATTTTGAGTTTCAAATTTTTGGTAAGCATGAAATTTAACTGTATATTAAGCCTACAGAAGCTCTAAGTTTAGGACTCTGCAAAACTTGCTTTTGTATATAAATGAGACATTTCCTATTGTTTTCTTGACACTTAAGATTAACTATTCCAACAGTTTACCTGAAGTTTAATTTAACAGAGGAAAAAAATATTTCTAATCCATTGGATGGGATTTTTTTCCAAGTTAAGAGAAGTATAATTACATTTTACTGAAATAAGCCTATCTTTGTATTGATTTAATTAGATAAGCTTAAAAAAAGGGGGACAACTTGAGTGCAGATAGAACAACTGCATTTTTTAAATTTTTTTCTAGGGTATAAATCTCTTGAGAAATGTTCCTGCCTGTCTGTTGACCTGGTGGTTGTGCCCTGTTGTTGCTGCTGTGTCAGTGACTGAGAGGCTGCAGTCTGACTTTCCTATGGGCTTTAGCCCATGCAAATTCCCTGAAATTAAGGAGCATGATATATTCTTTGAAAGAAGTGAGATCATTCTTAAAATCTTTCCCCAATAATTCAGTCTGTTACTAGGAAGGTGAAATGCCCAGATCACTCCTGGCACATGCAGGGGTCTGAGTGATGATGTTTTAATCAGACCTGGGGCCTGTGCAGTTCCCTGAGCTGCATCTCTGCCTGTTCTGGGGATGTGGACGGTGCTGCTTCTGGGGAGGGAGAATTTCCCTCGGTGCTAATCACAGAATATCCAGCTCCTGGGGTGGTGACACAGTGCAATGAAACAAAAACTACTATTTTCAGCCAGGCATCCTGCTCCCTGTTGACTTGAAAGCCCTGATGTCAGGCTGCATGCTGCTGACTCCAGAAGTGCTTTGGAGAGGGATTATCATAAATTCAGATACCTGCTAGAGATACCTGCACGGTACATTTGTGTCTGTCAGCTCTTTCAGGATGCTAATTTTCCTGGCAGTTTGTAGCACTTTTTTGGATCTCTGTGGGAACTGTCCAAGAGGCACCTGGAAAAAAAGCGTTGGAGCTTTTATTGTTAAAAGTTTTTTTCTGAATTTTCCAGGAGGGTGTTCCATTATCTCTGCAGCTAGAGGTGCTACTGAAATCTTCAAAGCCAGCTGTTGGACTTAACAATATAATTTTCACCTGAAACTTTTTGTTCTAGCAGGTGATAATGATTAGGAGTTGCATATTAAAATTTTTGCTTTTTTTATCCAGGATGAGGTTTTAGCCAGACATCAACACAGACAGAATGGCTCTGTAGCTGAATGCTGCCTTCTCACATCTCAAATGCCCTGTTGGGAGTGGCTGCATCATTCTTAAATTGTCTTCATAAAGCTTGTCAGACAATTTCCATCCCTCAAAGGCAAATTTGAGCTGATTTAAGCATGTAGTTTTCACGTTAAACGTGTGAACTGGTTTGGGGTCAAACCCAAGGTTTGATGAAAGCATTGAGACAAGGTTATCAGGCACTTGAGTGATGAACAGGCATTGTGTAAGGTAAAGATCCATAACTTGTTCTTGTGGGAGTTTGTTGGGAATCCTCAATTCCGGGCATTTCCATTCTCTGGGTACTACTGGCATTTCCTTCAAGACAAGTGTCCAAGCATGTTCTTCAGGAATAGCTATGGTGGAGCAGAGGGCATTTCCAAGTAGCTGTCTCAGTTTAGGATGAACAAGTTTGACAGTTCATGTGTAAATTTAATTCCAATGCAGTTTGGCTGTGTGTAATTCCACTTTTTTCTCATGGGTGAAATTATCAGTTGCTTCAAATTTTGGGTTTTCTTTGTATTTGAAGTTCCTCTGATTATGTAGCCCTGCATAGAGAGAACAGTTGAAGTTCATCTGTAGGTAAATTATAATACTGAGAAGTTAGATTTTCAGTAAACTATGCTCAGAGGTCAGGGTAAAAGGTATTGCTATTGTATGTTGGGATGTTTTTGTTGAGATGTCCTCCCTTGCAGCTGCCAGGCCACCAATGTCCCTGTCTGTGAGCTCATCCAAGCTCCTCTTCATCTCCCTGGTTCCTCTTTGTGTGCTGAGCTGCCCAGGGGCTTTAGGAGCACTCACTGCTGGGGTGTTCCTGGTGCTGGGTGGATTTTGGGGTGTCCTGCACCTGCCACGGGCACAGCAGGGTTGCCACAAGCTGTGACATTGCTTTTCCTTTAGGAGAGGCACTCCAGGGGTGTTGAGAGAAGTATTGATCTACTTCAGTCTCACGCACTTGCTTAGCTCCTGTGATGAGATTTTAATCTCTTTTCAAGAAATACTAAGGTTACAAAGCTTGAAAAAAGATGTATAAGGTGTCTGTAAACCACTCTGGGAATTTTCCATCTGGGAGACAATGTGATATGGTACTATTACTATTTTTTTCTTATTTTTGTATCTATAGCCTTATTAAAAAAAAATCATCCACATATTTTACCTGGAGAAATTGTTCCAGAGCACAGTTCTTGTGAAATGTTAATGAAATACTGACTGTGGCCAGCTCTGTATTTCTCCATTCAGGATCACAGCAGAAACTCTCTTTAAAAACTAATGTTTGATTTTTATGACAGCATTTGGAGAAGAAGAATCTTGATTAGGCTGCTCCAGCCTTGCCCTTTTGCTTTACTCTTTGCTTTACTGACTGAAGGGCAGTAAGACAAAGATAGCTGTGTGTAAAGAGCTCCATGCCTCCGTATTCTTTGAAAATAAACAAAAAATTGTATCCTTATGCTAAATGGAGCTTCATCAACTTATTTAAATAACCAATAGGCTGTAAATGTTTTTATTTGGAGCAGGGAATTAAGTAATTCTGGAGTCAGGTTGGTAAACACTGTGGTCTGGCAATTAGGAAATTGATTTGGGACCTAATTCACTATAAAACAGTCCATCTTTTGCTAGGCCTGTAAATATCTCCTTATTGCTTAATTCTACAGTCTCCTTAATGGGGAACCTGGTCATTTGTGAGGAATCAGCTGTACATGTGGTAAGCTCATCTGCTTGTCTTTTTTTCCAATGTTGATTGGCAACAAAAGCAATTTGGTGCAGATAAAAAAGAGCAAATGGTAATGGGCTTGAAGCTGAAAGCTCTTAGCTTTTAACACTCAAGCACTCAAAGTGGAGGATTTGGGGATAAAGAGACTTTACTTATGGGTTAGAGATCCTTTGTTCTGTGCTTGGCTGGTTGTTTTTCTTTGGCTTGGTTTTGCTATAGTATTAGTAAGTGGCGGGCTGCTTGTGAAGTAAAGATATTTAATTCTGGGGTCTTGAGCTCATAAAACATTTTTAAAAATGCAAAGGCAGCACTCACTGGAGGCCCTTTGGCACCCATGACACTGTGTCAGGATTATGGATTACTGCCAGTCGTGCATTTCAGTCTGAAAAATTGCAGTTTGGCTTTCTGAAAACATGCTGATTTTAAGAGCTCTCTGTGCTGCTTAAACTGCTTGTACCAGGACCCTGGGCCTCCTGCATTCATGGCAGCTAGACCCATTTTGAGTTTTGTAGCGTAACTTCCAAGTGATTTAATGAGAAAAGGAATAAAATTAAAATGTAATCCTTGAAAAATATATATATACCAAAAAGATCATGTGTTGCTTACATGGAATGCTTTTTCATCCAACTTGAAAGTGGCCAATTTCAAGGTTAAGCAAAGCTTATTATTGGATCCAAGCAGCATCTCAGTCAATTGCAAAATGAACTGTTAAACCCTTGGCTTTTAAAACCTATATTAAGCAACAGGGGAAAAAAATGGTGGCTCTGCATTCCCTTGGTATTCCCTTGGTGCCTGTGCACTCCTCCTGGTGGCCCCATGAGCAGCAACAATAATCCAGCACCTGACACAGCCTGAAAGGCTGGCCCTGCTGTACTTCACACACTCGGTGTAAGGAAGAGACTCTTTACTGGGAGTGGTGAGGCTCTGGAACAAGGTGCTGTCCCAGAGGTGATGGCTCCACATCCCTGGAAGTGTCCAAAGCCAGGCTGGACAGGGCTCAGAGCAACCTGGGGTGGTGGAAGGTGTCCCTGCCCATGGCAGGGGTGGAATGAGATGACCCTTAGAAGTCAACTCAGAGCATTTCAGAAGATGCACCCCTGTAAGTACAGAGAAGGGGTGTTTGGGAGGAGTTAAGTGTGTAAAGTGTTTTTATAACATTTGACACTTACTCTACTCACAGTTAACAGAGGAAGAACAACACAGGATGTGGACTCCTACGATCCATCGCAGCACTGCCTGAATATAAATATCTGTGACAGGCTGCACAAGGATGCTTTAATGGCAGTTGTCAGAGACATTTAAAATGGATTAGACCCTCTCAGTTTTTTTTCCTCTAATAATGAATATTTAGTGAGACTTTTAAAGCTGTTAGCTATTAATTATAGAACCTAAAAATATGATGGTGTTCAGTCAAGTAGGAATCAGCACATGACTGTATGCAGAAGTATGTTCTCTGTCTAGCTTTTTGTGACATGGCTTACTACTTTACATTTGCTTTATAAATACAAGAAATTATTTTTTAATGATGACAGCTGGTGATGAAGCAGACTTGCCCTTGAAAGTTGTAAGCAGGCTGGGAATATTAACACTGAGGAGGTAAAAGGAGAGATTAATAGATAAATGTCCTGATACTTAAATAATGTATGATAAAATTAGATTACCATAAATTTAGTTCCATTGTAGATAATGGTATTGTTCTGAGGCTAGAAATCCAAGTGTGGCAATGGAAGGTTAATGCTTGCATTAACAGAAATGCAGCCCATTGTCCTTTGCTGGTGTTGTTGCTGCTTTCTGCAGATAAGAAATCGCCTTTCTCTTTAAATTAGTTTATACTACCAAGGGTTACTTTTGCATATTGGAAATAAATAGGGTTATATTTATACAGCTAAAATAAATGTTTCTACTGTTGAAATAAATGTCTTATTCCAACTGTAGAAAGCTGATTATACCATTGATAAAGAGGCCGTCAGTCAAATAATTCTCATTTATGTATTCAAAAATCTTAACTAATAGTGCAATATAAAAAGCTCAAGTAGCTTTATTAAATTCTTGCTTTTCAGGGTGATTTTTTTTCCTTTGTAGCTGGAAATCATCTTCTATTTGCAGCGTGCTGTCATTTCCCTGAGTAAAGAACAGAGTAAGGAGGCTTTGAGTGTTTGGTTTGATTACTCTGTTTTGTTGGTGTTTTGATTCTTTTGTTTTCACCCAGGTTATTCAAGCACTGGGAATCCAGCTTGTGGGATCTGGTTTTAGCCTTCGCTGGTCAGTTTTTTTGGAAGAAGTCCTTTTTAGAAAGGAGCTTGGCAGTGCCTCTGCTCTGGGGAGAGCTGACCCACTGACCTCCTTTAGTGATCCATCTCAGGCTCTGCAGCCCATCCATCTCTGGTTTCTTGGCCTCCCAGCTCCATGGGAAGCAGGGACTGTTCTTGCCCCATTTTCCAGGCTGAAGGATTGATTTCCTCTGGCAATGCCATGGGAAGTTAGACACAGGGCCAGTGTTAGTTTGGTGAGCTCCCCTTGGTCAGCAGGGACAGGGAGAAATGCCCTGAGTGCTGTTTGTCCTCTTCAGGCTTGGATTGAGATGAGTCTTAATTGAGACTTGCACAAAATCATATCAGAAATGTGTGGTCCTACACTTGGTTTTTTGTTTTGTTGTTTATTTTGGTCTTTCTTCATCCCATGGCTCGATGTCCTGGCTGTGGATCTTCACTTTGCTCTTGCCTGAGCTGGAGCTGTGACTGGAGCAGCCTGGTTGTTGCATCTTCCCTGAGGGTCAAAGAGTTGAAATTCTTCCTTCCAGGCCCTTTTGTCCATCAGTCTTGCAAGTCCTGTTCAGTGTAGTTAGACCCTGGGAGTGGGGTGGTGACTGACTTCCTCCCCAGATGTGAAGCCAAGGTTCTGGGATGTCGGTGGGAGTGGGACTGGAGCCTTGCCTGGCATTCCAGCAGAGCATCCTTTTAACTCTGTGAGAACTATCACAGCTCTGGGGGGTGGGGGGGTGAAATTTTAAGTTTGTCTTAAATGGATTGCTTTTCTCAAGTAGCATTTACTATAAGAAGTGTGAGAAAATGAGAGCAGAGGTCCTAGAGGAGAAATTTGATGGGCAAAGAAGGGGAAGAGAGCCTAAGAATTTATTCTGAGTCCACCTGTGTGCATGTGCATGAATTTTTTTCTGCTTAGACATTGACATTCCTCAAAGTACTCTCAGTTGATAGCTCAGAGTGCCCTAATGATAATTGCATTTACACTAAATGTGGAGCAGCATCAATACTGATATACAAATAACATGAAGCTGCCAGCCATCCTAACTAATCAAATGGAACTTGGCCCCTGTCTCAGTCAGGAAAAACAGGGAAGAATTCATCTTTAAGCAAGAGCTTAAAGAAGGGTGGATGTGGTGGCCCTCCTGTTAAATGTGTCCTTCTATGCAAAAGGATAGGAAGAGGAACAAAAGCTGTCTTGGGGTCTGGAGCATAAATTACAGCACACGTACTTAGATTTTTATAGATGTTAGCAGTATGCAATCACATTTTTTCAGCTCTCAAACAGAAGCATCTCAGATTCTATCCCTTGATACAGTTATGCTAAAAAAATATTTAATTGCTATTATGTTTGGATGGAAAATAGGCTTTAACCTTGAGGTGCTGAAACAGCAAATAAGATACTGTGTTCAGGTAAGGATCTGTGACCTGTAACAGGTGTGAGGGGCTGCAGAAGTGACCTGCTTTTACTTCACAGCATAGAGTAGAGGGAACCTTGCTGAGTGCTAATTAATTGTTGCTTTCATGCAAAATAATTTTTACCTTCAAATAGCCTTGAAAAGAGTTCTCTCAGTTTTATCATCTAGGAGAAGTTGATACTCAGAAGCTTCATGAAATAGGCTCTAACCCCAAGATCTGAGCTCTTTAACATTATGGATTTGAATGGAAACAGGTTTGATACAATTTAAGCAAGCCATGTACAATTTAAAAGTAACCCTGTATCTTTCAGGGCATTAGTGTGCAGAGTTTTATGTTTTGGGGCATTGTTTTAACTGTGGAAGTAAGTATTGCAGATGATTTTGTTTTTTCTGCATACCCAGTTCATGTTTGTTCATCCCTCTGCACAGCACACTTCATCCTGAGAAATGGAAACACTTTTGTACAAAAGCAGCCACCCACTCAAAATACATAAATAAAGACTCTTGGATGCATAATCCTTTAAAATACAGCACAGGGGAGATTTCCAGGGAGTGTTTATTATGGTGACAGGTAGAACCAAGTGAGTAAAAGCCTCTCTTGGCTCTCAGTTCTGGAAGGTCCTCATTTGTGATTCTAGTCATGATGATAAAGCAATTAAATGCCAGTGAACATATATTTTCCATGGCTGTGAGGCTTCTGGCATAATTATATAATAAAAAATGCCATTAAAGAGCAATAATATTATTAGTGCATCACTTGGAAGACGTGCACAACTTGGATGCTAAGAGCACAAAACAACCAAAGCCCAAAACCAACCCTGATGTTCCCAGGTGTGGAATTCAGAACAGAAACCTCTGTGCCTGTTGTTGTTGCTACAAGATACTCTGATGCACCACAGGATATTTGCACCTCCAACTGGCCAAATCCTTTTTGCTGTGCGTCCTTTTAGCTTAGGAAATCTAAACTTTGGGTTGGGTATGGTCAGTTAAAAGCTACGAGACATGTCGAGTGATAACTCTGGGGTCCTGACTCACCTCGGTGCCTTCAGTAAAACTTGTGAGATTAAACCTTGTGAAAATGTGAAAATATATTCCCGTAGTGTGAAGCCCATTTTATTACAAATTCTGTGTGGATGGGTGTTGCTGTTTTTAGGCTTGATACACCCAGCCAGTGGTGCAATCCTGTCTTTCATCCACCAAGATGTGCTGTGTTGTTAATGAAGGACCTAAAGGCTGCTTTGGTCCCATTAACCATGGCCTGGCTCATCCTTTTCCAAGTGCTCCAGGAGTTACTCTGTCAACAGACCTGGTATTCCAAATTCCATTTAATCACACAGATCGAAGAGTTCTTGTTTCATAACTTGCATTGTATTTCCTATTTTTAGCATTGAGGTAATTAATTTGTTATAAACAGTATTGATGAAAATCTTCTAGAGGTGGAAGCATTCCAGTAACAGCTGAAACTAGTAATGTAATAGATCTACAAAATATGAAATGTGTATCGAGATCTGAAAGAAAAAATGTTCCAAACCACATCTTTTGTTTGATACTGGAGAGCATGGGTTGATCCATGGCCTGGGTCACTGCTTGCTCAGTATCACGGTGCACTCAGGGATGTCACAACTCTGAACAGATGCTCAGAAGGTCAAGCTGTGGCTCCTGGCCGTAAACTCCAAACCACCTCTGGAAACTTCATAGCACCCTCTGTAAAAGGGGCAGAACCTTTATAAAAGAGGTCAGGCATGCCCTTAAACTCAAACATAATAGTTTTGCTTATAGTCTTTTTGAAGTTAGGATTTAAAAATCTGTTATTATAAAAAGGGAAGAAACAAATTACAGCTGTAATGTTTTGTTTTCATGGCTGGCAAAATGCCTTCTTAGAAACATTTATTTTAGGAAGAAACCCACTACCATCCAAATGATTGCATGTGTTTATTTCTTTTGGATGTTTGAGAATATCCCAAAATTACACCATAAAAAGACTGCAAAGATTTAGAACAATCTGCCAGTAATCTGGATCGAAAGCCCAGTTAATTGTTTTGTGGGAAAGGTGTTTTTGCAGAATTTCTCACTGTACCTCCATCCCTTCCACTCTGTGTGAAGCCTGTATTTGTTTCACCGCTGACTGGAGAATGTGCTGCCCCTAATCCAGTGAGCTGAGCAAACTCCTTGTCGAGGTAAACCATTCCAGACCCATCAGGAACACTCCAGCCCAGCCTTTGGAGAGGAGGGTGAGCCCTGTGTGGGTTTGGGAATAGGAGTGGATGCTCTAGCTTGGGTTTATAACGAGCCCAGGGCAAGCACCAGCTTTATTTAGACAGCAGTCACTCACACATGTAATGAGCCCTTTAATTAGGTTTTCACAATGTGACAAAAAAATGTCTCATCAAAATATTTATAGTTGGGTTTTGATTTAAGTCTTCATTGCCTGTATAAAACAAAACTTGTCATCTGAGGTAAAGCATCTGGCAAGTCGGTAAGTGTTAGCTCATGAATCGAGCGTGACTATTCTGGGACTGGGGGATTACTCAGATGTAGTAGGGATGCATCCAAGAAGGGATGTGGATAAAAAGAGGATGTCAAGTTTATGGTGTGATTATTTTTTTTGTGGTTTTTTTTTTTTTTTCTCCCCTTCATGTTTTATTCAGGCCAACAGGTTTGTGCATAGCTCATCCTGCTGCTTTTCCAGAGTTTTTGTTGATGGATGTCTATGGGAGCATCCTGCTAATTGATAGGTGGCATTTGTGGAAATTAGACACCTAAGGTGGGCTCTCAGGTGTTAGGGCAGTGGAGAGCAGAGGTATACAAATTGGTAATTTGGTTACTTCTCAATTAGTGGTTCTGCAATGATGGGGAAAATGTAGAATTCTTAATTATTTAGGATTTGAAATCTTGCTTGTTTTAACGTGATGGCAAAAGTCAGCAGAGGGAAAGGGTAAAGAAATGTGCTGTGAATTTAAAGCTGAGGAGCAGCTCTGGGCCATCTGAATCCCCTGCTCCAGCTGCTTGGATCTTGGACTTGCAGGAGCCCAGGAAGTGCTGGCAATCCTGGCATAGCGGAGCCCTCCTTGGGCTTGGTGTTTGGGGAGGGAGGGGAAGAGCTTATTTTCCTCTGGAGTTTCTCCAGAGCCATTTTCCATTTTGAAA